TTGATCCGTATCTCTGCCCTACTGGATCAAAATCTTTGAGAATTTGGAGATAAAGAAATTGATAATTTTACTAAACTCCTCAGGTGATTTTGATAATCAGCTATCAGAACTGTTCTTATTCTAGAAATTGAATAAGGAAATCCCTTAAGGCATTGCTTTAGCCTTGAGGAAAAAGGATCTTTGCATCACAGATTTCAGATCTGAGAATTCCTTATATCAGATGACTAGATAGAGTATGTTATCAAATGTATTTCTTTTAACACACACAAATAAATGAACCAGAGATCTTCCAAATCAAAACAGCTCTTAAGGCCACATTGACAATTTTTGTACTGCCAATAGATTTTTCAACAATGTATATATTCATAGTGGAAATTTGGTTTAGGAGTTCTCTTTGAGCATGATTACATGTCTTTATAGTTTATTTATTAGAACAAATAGAGTCTAAAAGCTGTAGTTTAGATGCCAATAGACTAGAAGCAATCAGTTGGGCAACAACTTAAAACAATACATACCATCCAAGCGACTTGGGTGATTTCGTGTATGTGTTCAGGGAATTAGGAAATAAGAATTCTTGTCCTGACTTTTATCTGTCTTGGCTATTAGGCAAATAGCATTTTTTTGGCCTAAGTTGCCTTATCTGGTGAGTTAGGAATAAATTACAGAAAATAAATACTGATAGGTAATTTTTTTCTGTTCTGGTGCTTCCTCTTAAAAGCTACCATTAAAATAGATGCCTTTGGGGGGCTGGAGAGATGGCTCAGCAGTTAAGAACACTTCTTGTTCTTGCAGAAGATCTGGGTTCGAATCCCAGCACCCACATGGCAGCTAACAACTGTCCATAACTCTAGTTCTAGGGGATCCAATGACCTCTTCTGTCTTCTGTGGGCACTGCATGACATGGGTGCACTTACCTACATGCAGGCAACACACTCATACACAAAAATGAAAACAATAAATAAAAAAATAAATAGATGCCTTTTATTTGTTGTGGATTTTCTACTTGCAAAACATTTTGTTAAATGCTTTCTATATCTCCTATTTATTCACTACACCATCCTCTAGAGTAAATATTATTATACTTAGTTTACAAATTAGAAAATTAACAATCTTAGCAGCTAAGAAATGTGCTGAAGAGTGTACCACTATTAAGATGTAGGCCTGGAGTTTGAACACAGATTGTCTACAGACTAAACTTTAGACTCCTCAGTTTTTCTTGTATAAAATAAAACAAACTGAAAAGCCTCAGTAACTCATCAAACCAAAAGCATTTTTCAGAAATGTTTATAGAAGCATAGCTTATACACTCTGGGCTCTCTCAATTTCTTCTCTACATTGAAGGATGGCACTCAGGGCTGATGCTCATCCAGCCATCAATGGACAAGTGAAGGGAATTGTAGCTGAGCAGGCACAGTGTAGATTTGGGGTCCTGCTGGCTATGGTTGGAAACGTGGCTGACTTGGCTTAGCTGGGTGATTTTAGACAAATTAACATCTTGAGGCTCATTTTCTTCATTTGTTAAGTGTTCATCATAACACCTACATGTAGTTATATCACAAATAATGGTTAAAACATATATAACACACAATACAAATTTAATACATGAAATATAATGTTTATTGACTGAAATGTAGTAGGAACATTGGCTCTCCAGACCATATAACACGCAATTGCTCAGGCCAAAAGAGAAGCAATTGTTCTTGATCACGAACCTTTACAAATTGTACTCAATCCATAATAAAAAATGCCAAGCCTATCTTCTGAATATGTCCCTAACTCAACCACTTGTCCCCTGGTATCTAGGGAAAACCTCTCTCATCTTTTATCAGGAACTCCAACAGGTCAGTTTCAGGCTAGCTGGGCTTATTTTCCGACAGTATTTTCTTCTTGCAAAGGGAGAATTTTTCTGCTTTACTACATATCATTACTTTGATCAACGTCCTCCAAAGGTTTTCCACTAGAACAAAATCCAACCCTTTAACCAGTCAAGACAGATCTGGCCATCTCCTCCCCACTCCCTCTCTGAATCTAGCATCACTGTCTCCATTCCATATAGGTTTCCTCGTTTCTGAAGCATTGGCTAGTTTTTGTCAGGCCTCTTTCACTTGGGACTGGAATTCTCATTCCCTCTAACTGATGCTTTGGCTAGTGGCTCCTTTTGTTCATTCCAAAAGTTAAATTACCAATCACCCATCTAAGTTTCCCTTCCTCTATGGTCTCTCTTTATCCATTAATACATCCATAGTTTAAACTTTTCTTACACATTTGTTTATGTATATAAATGTACACACACAGAGTTTGGAAAAATAGTAACTCATTTAAAGCTCATGCCTAGAGAACAGAATAGTTTGAAGAGTCAAACAGTTGCATGCAAGAGAGCAAACTCAGAGAACCAAGATTTTGGAACCTAAACTTCTCAAGGGACTGGTAATATATCAATGGTAAAGCAACAGAACACCCAAGAGAGCAATAACCCCCATGCCGCGTAAGAAGGCATGCACCAGCTTGACACCTTAGGTGAAGAGCACCCAACTTGAAGAAATGAGTGTGATGCCTGCGAGGGTCGGTGGAGGAAGGTTTCTGAGTCTCAGACGCTAATCAGAGGCATTTATAAACATTCCAGCGGTAAACTTATCTTTAAGTTCTCTATATTTGGACCTTGCTTTGATTTTGTCATATTGAGCTGCTAACATGCAGTTCCACTGGAGAAGCTGTTGCTTTAGAACTGCTGAAATACAGTGATTTGCACTGCTGATATTTTTCTCCAATTAAGCACGTCTCAATAATCAGTCAGTGGTCCAGTCAGTGAGGGGGAATGCGTGGTGAGTTTCTCTGAGATGGAAAATGACAAACAGCTGGAAGAAACACTGTTTGCTGGTTATGCTTGCTTTCGGAGCAGCAATGCCATAGTTGTTTTTTTTTTTTTTAAGGAACTTTTTCAGTCAGGTAGAAGACTTAAACTTCACAAATTACTTCTATTAGTAATGTAATTGTCAAAAAGAAAGCAAAGACATTTCTCTTTTCAGCAGGAGGCCTACAGCACTTCCTTATAGATTGGTCTGATGATTAGGGGGTTATTTATGGTGACAGGAAAATGTGCACGATCGTAAATTTTCCCTCAGCTCTCTCTTTTCCTTCAGGGAGGGAAGTTTATCTTTTCATATCTCTTAATGTCTTGATGAATCAAAGTGTATGGAAATCAATGGGCCACGGATAAAACTTTCCAGACTTCAAAGGCCAGGTGCCCTTGGGCACAGAAGGGACCGCCTGCCACCCAAATGGTCCCAAGCATACCCTCCCCCAGCTGGTCTCCCCCAAGGAAGCAGATCCTAGCCTGTTCAGGGAGTGCTGAGGGCATTTGGGAGCTAAAACAGATGTCTTAACAGAAGTGTTTCTTCCCATTTGGAGGAAGAATAAGGGAACAGCGTGGGTTGTTGGACTTGAATGTTTGGAGATGGAAGGATGTTAGAAACTCTGCCAAGCCATTTTTTTCCTAAGGCACCCGTTTACCCTGGGCTGGACCAGCTTTTAAGCCTGGCCTTACAAATCAAATTTCGACAACAACTTCCTATCCTACTGGAAATCTTTCTGGTTTTAATTTTTTTGAGTCTTTTGACTATGTTCTGAGACACTGAAATCAGAATTGAGGTATACTGGGAGGAAAAGAGGGCACTATTTTATATATTCATGTATAGAAATGTATAAATAATGTACATTATATAAATAAATACTCCTAATATATAAAATGTATACATATCCTATAGATACATAGAATTTCATGTCTATGACTACATGTGAATATATGTATATATTTATACTTTATGCCAGTTATTAGACATCTATGTGTATAATATATATGTAACTACATTGTGTATGTATGTGTATGTTCCACAGCTGTATATATTTTCTTCTAGTTTCCTTTTTTATCCCTTATTTTTCCAGCAGCTCTGAGATTGCTTAAGAGGGAATTCCCTGGCTTTTCTTTCTGACAGGATGAGGCCGGCTGACTGAGCTCCGGCTCTTCTCATGGCTGCTTGGCAGGAGACAGGAGACCTCCAGGAAACTTCCTCACTGGACAAACACTGCAGGCTCTAGTCTCAGCACTTCCGAAAGGATGGGCTCGTTGCCCGGGAGTCTGGGAAAGGCAGCTTTGGCTGAGTTCCAGAACATCTTCCCCTGGATATCTTGGGAATCTTTCTATCTCCTTTTGAGTTTAGTAAATGAACTCTCTCCTTCCAAACCCATGAAGGGGTTGAAGTGGGGATGCTGTACTTTGCACCGAATTCACTTTTGTGGAGGAGGAGGTATCCCGTTTATCTCTCTTTATATCTGAAAATTGACTTTAACGTTTCATAGATTAAAAGAAATCTTCAGTTAAAAATGTGCCAGAGAAGTTATTTATGGGTGAGAAGGTGGGGGTAGTAGTACTTTTTAGCTAAATACAGAAGTTGGATAGTATATGTATTATTAATTGCTAAATACATGAATAGATGAGAGTTGCCTGTGTTTCAAATCTGCCTCCCATTGTACATTTGCTATGTTGGAGAGGTTGAAATAAACAGAGTGATCTGTGAAAGACTGAGTAAAGTCCACTTTTGATATTACCATTAAATGTATTTTTCCTCTATGTAGCTAAATACTTAGAAACTGGACAATTCTCCCAATAATGAATGCTTTCCCTACAGCTGTTTACGTTTTTACAGTGAGTTGGCTTGTGGTCTCCGTGATGTAAGAGTCGGGGAAAGGCCATTAACTGGGTAAGTTGAACACCACAGATGTTCCCTGATGTGTGCTGATTTTTCAGATGTAAATCTCAATATTCTGGGAGGCCTGGTAGGAAGTTCTGGGAAATAATTCTGGGATAAAAGACGTTTTCAACAATGGCCACTACAAATTCAAGGATACTGTGAACAAATCAAGTCCCCCATGTACTTCCCTTTCAGCCATAAATACACGTTTTCGTCTTGGGCCTCACTGGTTCCCCATCTGCTGTGCCCTTGCAAGTCCAGTTTCCTGGCTTCTCCCTATGCTCCATCCAGCTTTTCCTCAATCACCTGGCCTTCCTGTCACTCATTTAAGGAATATGCTCCTTCCACCAACTGCTTGAAGAACAGGCATAACCGAGCCAGTCGTAGGACAAGTAAAAACATTTCACTGGACTATGGGACTTCCCTTCTCAAAGCCAAGGACAGATGGGTTCTCACACTTTCATGACTGTCAGGTGCCCCACTTGTGTCTTGCAATATGCATGTATGCCACATTGCATTTCATAGGGCAATAGAAACCACTAGAAAGAACTCCACCAATCTCCTACAAGACATGCTAACCTGCCTACACTTGTACCTGTGTACCCTCTTTTCCAATTGTTATAAAAAAGCAGCAGTTCTCCAACTCTTGTTTCTATAGCACTCATCAGTACTATCTAAATTGCATGGTGAGAAAAGCTAGACCTGTTTACTCTGGAACCTAGGGAGTGAGGAGGGCATGAGAATCTGACTTTTACTGAGCATTCGTGGTGATTCTCACGTACATTAGTACTGAAGGACCACCACCATAACACATTGAATATACTTTCTCTAATTACCCCTTCTCTTTAAGTGGCGGAGGTAGGATTCCATGTAAGTTAAGATCAAGGACCCTGACACTATGACACTAGTTGGACAAATTCCTTAAAGTTTGTGCTTCCATTTCCTTATTTTAAAAGCAAGGATGATGGGCTGGAGAGATGGCTCAGCGGTTAAGAGCACTGACTGCTCTTGCAGAGAACCCAGCTCCATTCCCAGCACCCACATGATGGTTAACAATCATCTGTAGCTTCAGTCCCAGGGGATCTGATACCTTTTTCTGACCTCTGCAGGCACTGTATGACATGGGTGCACTTATACACATGCAGGCACTCATACACATAAAATAAAAATAATAAAAATTTTAAAAAGTGAAGATAAGACTGCCTATTTTTCAAAGGCTTATAAGGAAAATTAAATGCATAAATATGTAAACATATGCATTTATTTGTATAAAGAGCATATAACCAAGAAAAATGTGTGGGCTGTTATTAATACTGACTCCTTCCTATCAACATTTCTTAAGATTGTTATTTTTATGAATTCTAAACAGGCCGTTTAGCTCTTCTTTTCTGTAGCCACAATAATCTCCATTTTTCAATTGTTATTTCCTTCAAAACATACTGTCCCCTCTCTCCTGTCCACAGGGCTTTAGTATAAAGCACAGTGCTGTTCTTGATGCCGCCTCAATACTAGTTATCTTCTACTCATCCTCTCCTTTTGACCAATTGTCTTTTTGTAGAGAAGCCTCCGCAAATTCTCTTGATATTCACTTTCAAGTTCCACAAAGCATTTGTCAGCATTATAATTTAATATTTGTTTATGCAATCATTTGATTAAAGCCTGTGGCCCTTATTCTTTATTATATTACAAGCCCCCCCCAAACTGGGTTCTGCTGATTTCTGTTCATAAATGCTTCTCTTTCTTTCTCTCTCTCTCTCATCTCTTTGTTGTGGTAGGTATACTTGCTAGTGTGGGTAAGTATATGCACACGTGCCTGTGTGTGTGCATGCATGTGGAGCCAAAGTTGATATTGGGTGTCTATCCTTGATTGCTCTCCATCTCCTTTTTTTGACACAAAATCTCAAAAAGCTCATCAGGACTGGTGAGATGGCTCAGTAGCTAATGGCACTTACTGCCAAGCTTGATGATCTGAGTTCAATCCCTGGGACCCACATCATAGGAGAGAATTGACTTCTGCAAGTTGTCCTGACACCCCACCCCCACTGTGGAATGAAAATGTGTATGCATACAAGTAATAAAAAATTTAAAAAAAATTTAAAAGTTCATAAATGCAACTAGACTGACTGGCCAATGAGCTGCCTGTTTCCAACAGTTTCCACACTGTTATATGTGTGCTCCTACAGACATGTGCTCTTTGTGTGGGTTCTGAGGATCCAAAGTCAAGTTTTCATGCTTGTTTGTGAGACACTTTTAACTGGGCCATCTTCCCAGCCCCAGAAATGCTCCTTGGGTCTGGCACATAGGTCACTGTAACAAATGAGTTAATGAGTGAAAACACTGCCTGAAAATCTGAAGGCAAGAGCCACACTGGGGCTGCTGGGAATACTTCAGCACTGTCTGAAGGTTCTAGCTTTGGAGTGAAACAGGTTTAGAGAGCAGTCCTTACCACCACGTGTAAGCTGAATGGCCTTAGAGCAAGGTCATTTACTTCTTAAGAGCTCTCCTTCTTCATCTGTAAATGTCAAAGCACTCCAGAGAAGTGCAGTATCTACAGTAGGGATACAAGATATAATGCATGCAAAGACCTTAGTATTGGTGGATGAAAGAAATGTTCCATAAATGTTCATTGTAATGTGAATGACCTTCCTCCTCTCAACAAAACTCCCCCAGGGGTTTCTATACCTTTTAGTGGCTGATTTCAACAGCTGAGTACCTAAGAGACTTCTATCTCCAACCTCTCTGCTCCATGGTTATTTATGTTGAAGACAGTGAGGTGCCTCCTAGACCTTTCTCTGAACATTCTTATCAGAACTGCCTTTTGAGTTTATCTACTTTGTGTCTATTGCCACTCAGCTTCTCTACTTGTAAACAAACAAACAAAAAACTGATGCTAGCCCAAACTATATAGCTTTGCACACATCTTTTTAATTGCTACAAGCTTTGCCAGAACTATTTGTCAACCTCAGAGCTACCCCCGCTGCTTCCTTCCCCAGTGAGGTTGAGATTTTTCTGCTCTTCACTGACTTTGACAGAACGGGGAAAAATGAAGCCTGGATTCCCTTCTTTCTTTTCCACACTCTCCTCACAGTGAGGACATGGTGCTCTGAGGAATGACTTCTCTCATGTGCCCTTTGAGCCTCAAGAGGCCTTCTCTCCAGGGCACTTGGTCTTCTTCTCAGAGGTGCTAGATCTTTGTGCACTACTCCAGTGAGACTGGAAAGCAGGGAGGATACATGTGCAGGCAGCTAAGGGACTTAGAACAACTGTTACCCGTGTTCCCTTTCATCTCTAGCTACATTGTATTCTTTTTCTTTGCTTGTCAACATTCTATCCTCCAACCACTAGGCAGAGGTTCTTTCATGAGGAGAGTATTTTTCCTTTTACAAAGTAAGCTTGCCCTGGTTCAAGGGCATTTGGTGATGGCTGAAGATCTCCCTTGAATAGGTTTAGACTGGAGAGATGTCTCCATTTTTTTAAAATTTTATCTTTTATTTTTATTTTATGTGTACGAGTGTATTGCCTGCATGCATGTGAGTGCACCTGTGCCGTGCAATGCCATGGAGGTGTCTCTGTTTTATGTAATAATCTTATCCTATATTTTGTTTTTGACACTAAGGAGCACGTTACTCATCTTTTCCTTAGTGCCTCATCAAGATTATCACTCTTCTTTCCATTATCTCTTTTGTACAGTGGAAATATGCAAGAAAGGCACATCAGATTCTATGAACTTTTGTCTTTCTCAAGTGGCCTGAAACATATGAAGGGTACATCATATTACAATGTACCATAAAGGATACATCACTCTTTGTAGGTCTCCTCTGAGGGATAAATGCACATAGTCAAATGATCAGTATTCTAATGAAGATATGCTAATCCTTCCCCGAGATCAAGTCTATTATTTATTCTTTTTCATATTTTCCTGATTTTTCTTTCAAGGACAAAAGGTTTGCAGTCTGAGCAGCTGGACTGCTTCCTCCCACTTTTCTGTCCTTGGAGACACTTGGCCTGGCCCATTAAAGGGAACCCATAGATTCAATTTCAACAGATGCATCTTATATTTATTCAGGATCTAAGTGATAGGGTGGCTCATTCTGCTGCTAAAAAAATTACAGTCTTTGTTGTGTAAGAGTCATATCTCAGTCCCATATAAGCAAAGACTTTTATCACTATAGTCTGTTGTAAGGACAGAGTAAAAGGACAATGTAAGTGTGGTAATGTATGAGAAACTAGACTATTCCTATCTGGAAATAAAATATACAGTTTGTCATTTGACTTGTAGCCTCAGGTGAATGTGCATAGAATATGGGACTTTGCAAACCATAGACTCATAGGTTTGTAATGCTGGAAAACCCATCATAGGGTGTTCTGGTATCTGACTTGGGAAATAAAAAGGGGGGAAATAGTGCCTATTCACTTTCTTTTATATTTTGTACAATTTCTGCCTCTGTGTCAATAAAAGATGTTGTCAACCATAGTGTTTAAATATTAGGTGTGGTTGTTTTTTAATCAAGACATATATAAGCTTAAACTTACTAAAGAAAGTACTGTATTTAGCTGCCTTCATTTCTTCTTTAAAAATGTCCATCTCTCTGTTTTTTAAATAATTGGCTCCCAGTTTTTATAGATTTATTTCCTTATTTTTTAAATAGATTTATTTAAGATCAAGAGAACAAATGAGACCAAATGCTGGTGAGGATGTGGAGAAAGGGGAACACTTATTCACTGCTGGTGGGATTGCAAATTCATGCAACCTCTTCAGAAAGTAGTGTGGGGAACCCTTAAAAATCTAAAAATGAACCTACCACATGGCCAAGTTATACCACTCCTTGGCATATACCCAAAGAACTCATCCTATTGTACAGAGATACTTGTACAACTATGTTTATTGCTGCTCTTTTCATAATAGCTAAGAGATGGAAACAACCTAAGTGCCCCTCAGTTGACGAGGGGTTAACAAAAATGTGGTAGATTTACACAATGGAGTTCTACTTAGTAGTAAAAAAGATGAA